TGTTTTTGTTGTTTGTCTGCTTGGTTTTTATTATGCCTGCTTAAGCAGAACGTTTCTGGTTTGTGATGTCACTGTATTCTAAGCTTGTCAACACTTTTGCTATAAAGTGCCAATTGCTGCAACCTGAAAGGATGCGTTCCTCTTCGAAAGCAAATCTGCCTGTATCATATGCCTCCTTGTTGAATGCTTGTATGCTGGCTGACCTCGGTTATGTTTCAATTCGATATGAAAAGCTCGAAGACTTGAATAAATTGCTCATATTTAACCAGTTTGTCTAATACTGCAATCCTCCTTTCCTTAATCCCCACATCCACCGAGGCTGACTGTGCCCAAAAGAAAATGAAGTCGTTCTTTACGTGATCCTGCCTTTTGATTCTCATCATCAGTCGAGGCAACGATGCTGCCGTCGCATTTGCTCCTTCATTAAATCAGCTGCGCACCTGCCAAGCAACAGCTCTTTCTTGCCAGAAGTAAGGTACCGGCAAAGTTTTGGGGAAGCAGCTATTCCTTTGTCAGCTAATGTATTCAACTGATTTCCAAAAGCAATCGAAGGCGAGACAAGCCTCCAATTCAACCATGGCTTGGTGGAATAGAGGTTGTTAAATAGGTCAACCTCTCGAAGCGTTAAACTTTGTTGTTCCACTTGCAGATCAGCTGTTACCGAATTAGTCTCTCATCGCTTTTCACTTCCAGGCATGAAGCAAAAAGTGGGTTTTCGCAGATGTGTTAGATACGGAAGGCGTCAGGTGGCAGAACCCGATGCACGTACTAATCCTCCTGAGGACAATAGCATCTGCATACTCCAGGTCAGTATGATATTTAACCGAATATCATGAACTGCGTTTTCTTAAAGTGAGACATGATCAGCAAATTTTGCGAGAATTCAAGAGAAAGACAGTCGAGATCAAATATTTACCGTAATACTACTCAATTCATAGTCCAAAAAATCATCAATTTAGCCATAGCTTGAGTTCAGTCATCTTTTTAGCCACCATAAACTACCTCTGCTACTATTTGCGACGAGAAAGAACCCCTGTCACCACTACAGGGTGCATGTAACAAAATTGTACGTTTCTAGGACTAATTTTTACTTTTCTTCTCAGTTTCGAAACTTTGTCCTTAACTTTGATGAAAACATGCTTCCTTAGAAGACGGGAGACTAGGACAGCTGCTCAAAAGTGATTTTGTTTGCTCACCAACGATGAGGATGCAGATTTATGAATGGGATGAATTTTTCCTATTAACTGCTAGTACCACTGAACAAGGATTGAACTCAACTGTACTTCAACGCAACCAGTCGAAAAAAGCAAAAATTCTTATACTTACAGCAAAGGAGATAACATGGCATTTTGTAGAGGTCATAACAGCTCATGCACGAGAAACGCCCGTGCTGTCTGATGAGTGTATCTTGTGGATGCATGCAGTTCATCTTGACCCTTCTGATAGCCGACTATATAGTCTGATAATCAGCATGAAATGGACCTCATGAAAATGAGTAAATTATATATTAAATCAAATGTGAAATATTAATTATATATAACGTCATATTCTATGATAAATAAATATATGATAAACCAGTGAATTG